TTTTTGCAAAATCATTTAGAAAATTTATTGGAGGACGTGCCACTGAGTATTTACAGGGACTTGTGGTTTCAGCATGATGGCTGCCCAGCGCACTATGTACTCTCAGTGAGAGAGCATCTCGATCAAGACTTTCCAAGCAGATGGATAGGGCGGTCTGGTACAATACCGTGGCCAGCCCGGTCACCAGATTTAAATCTGTTAGATTTTTTTTACTGGGGAACTGTAAAAGAAAAAGTGTATTTCAAGCCGATTCAAAATGTATCTGAGCTACGGCAAAGACTATTGGAAGCAGCTGAGTTTGTTAATAAGCGTGGATTCGCTCGTTTAATAACCCGATCTTTTTTAAGAAGATGTCGAGCGTGTATTGCGGCTGAAGGAAAACAGTTTGAGCATTTGCTGTAAAGGTAAATCATCATCAGCAGCATTTTGACGCCCACTGTTGTGCAAACAGTTATCCTTAAGGGTCCTTGTGCGTTTTCATAATCGCTGTTTAATTAGGAAATTTTGAAAAATTTTCATCAGTTTTTCTTCAAATAAAAATTGTGCAGAAGTTAACGAGTAATCTTCTAAGTGTTATACCACTTTGGAATCGTTATTAAATGCGCCAACTTTTAAGGTTACTTGCCAAACTCTCGTAGTACATTTTTTTCCAGTACAGCCAGTTAAAGTTGAGCAAAGTTTTATTTTGGAATACTGAGTTGCGAAATAAGTGGCAATTTTTCCTGAACGAGAAAAGTTCGCAGTAAGGTTGAGACACCACTTTGAAGATGCATTATTCATCATTACATTGTAAAAATAGAATCCAAAAAAAGTTAATATTTGTAGTAACAGGAGTTGACAGACTGCCGTAGGGTGTGAAATTTCTATATTTTTTTCAAAGACCTATAATTTTCAAAACACATACATAAAATTTGTTTAAATATTTTTCTGATAGCTGTTATGACTTTGCCTACCACCCGGTTTCGGCTTGACGTCGACTTCTGGGACACCCTGTATACAGGAAGTATCGGTCAAGATATTTATAGCTTCCTGTTGCTATGCGATATCTGGCACAATAAAGCACGTATACTGATGACGTCCCAATAATACATGCATTTTAACATTAATAAGAAATTATAATTATAGTGTATGATATCAGTTGCACTAGATCATACGCTCTGTACATGGTTGCCAACTGTATCTGGAAAGCTATCCATCCAGCGATGGATCGGAAGAGAAAGTCCATGGCCTTCGCTACGGTTAAAGGACATCGTGTTTCAGACTCAACCTACAACCAGAGAAAGTATGAAAGATCGGATTCGTAATGCAATACGTAACATACCGAGAGCCGAAATTGAATCCGTCCTATTTAGGGCCACAACTTAATAATAAAAAAAAAATCCAGAAAAATTAGTTTAAGAAAATAAAAATTTAAGGGAATTCCGTATAAAATCTTGTTTGGCCTAAATTTTAGGTTGGCAACGAGATACCGAGATGCGGTTTTCGCGAGATTGTTTAGACATCATTTAGCTACTTTCTCGTTAAACAAAATCATACCAATGCATTTAATTTGTTTTAAGAAAATTAACTATTTCTGTCAGAATATCGAAGAAAGCTCTCTATCGGTCACATGTGAAACTAACAATACTTCAAATATTATAACATTTGTATCCCAAGGATAGGCCTCTTCAACTAGCCCAAGTCTGTTAACATCGGCTCAGCCGCTTAGGGTATTTCTGTATGGAAACCTTTGAATACCCCCCACCACTTTATTTTTAGAGATACAGAAAAAATTGTAAAAAAAAAGTTCACATTATACTCGAATTTAAAGATCAGATACTTTTTTGTCATTTTAATATAGGGAAATTCACCGAAACATCACGTCTTCAATTTTAATTTAATCTTTTTAACCCTGTACAGTGCCAACTGTTGAGACACCCTGTACATCTGGTAAGAATCCCTGGTACGCCCATGTACACGTTGAAATTAGACTGCATTAATCGTGCAGCGTGCCGTTGGTATTAAACGACGGCGATTTATCGATTTTTAACGAGCAAGCCGTGAGTTGTCACAGCCAACTCCGCATGAGCTTCCGAAGAAGTTTTATGACCCTCCGAGTGCGGCACAATAACGGTCGCCGTCCACGGAAATCCGTCTTGACAAGCCGTTAGCGCCCGGTTTTTAAAGCCTCTATATCACCATTTGAGTAAATTAGTGGGTAAACGTTTTCGCGTTGGAGAAGAAGATTTTTTTTAATCACGTTTGTCAGATGCCCCTTGATATAAATCGAGAAGTTTCCGAGTAAAAGTTCTATATAATCTAGAAAAAAAATCGACAACATGCCAACTTGCTGACTAGATAGCTCTTAGTGAGCGCCACCTATGGAGGAATGATTCAACGATCATGTTGCAAGTCATATCGCAAGCGTGCGTTGTTGGTTGCAGAATGCTGATAGACCAATTGTATATGAGCCTGTTTGATTGACTTGATCCATTAATATGTAGCTAACTTCTGTTTCAGAAAGGGGCTAACTTTTGCCGTAATCCTTTATGAACTGCGTCTGTAACCATAAAAATTTTTGTACTGAATTCAGTACATCAAATTGAGAATAGTGTCAGTTTGTATGAAAACAAATTTAGGGCCAATTTCACCAACAAGAGTCCGTTATTCTCCACCCATAGAGTAACAGACCGTCAGATACAGCGAATGAGCTTCAAGTTCCAATCAACAAATTTTAGCAACCAATAGCTATGAAATGTTGAAAACAAAATACTGTCAAAGTATGAGATGACAACTTGTCATTGAAATATCACCAGCTTATTGAATATTAAGAAATTTCATATAATTCTGTCAAAATTTTAAGAAATGTTTGTTTTTTTAATTAAATTCATGTTTTAATTACTATTGTTGATTTTTTATTCATGTTTATATTATTTTCTTCAATTGATATGTGATACTGGGTGTTTTTTCCTATAAACCTCTTGCAGATAGCCATTAAGCACCTACTTGATGACAGGCTCTACCAAAAGATATTGCTCGTTTCCAAACATTCATTCATTTACTTGCCGTTCATCAGAACCATTATGGCACCTTAGAATGATATTCCCACAAAACCATTCATACCATCCATACATCCATAAAGTTGAATATTTTTCGTTGTTCAGGAACTGAACAAACATCCACACTATATTCACAGCGATTAAGAAATTCCCAAATATATGCCTTAACGCTACCAGCAAACCTATAAAACCTACAAAAAAACAACAAATTTGCCATATTTTTCTTTTTTCACGAGTACACATTCTAGGTTATATTTATATTAGACATTATTTGAATACAGCTGATTATTGCATTTCAAGGAGTGACACATGTGTGGGATGTGTCAACTCTTGGTACCAGTCACAAAACGTATATTCTGAAGGTTTAATTCCATGCTATTCAATGACAACACGGTGACTTGTGTGGTTGTCAGCGGCCATTTTGTGAGGGTGCGACAGGGTTGCCAGATTGTGCATTAATATCCCGTTTCACCTTCCTGGTCCCAGTGGAGTAAGTTCCGCCAACTGTTGAAATATACTTTACTATGCTTTATAAGACTATTCGTGACATTGCACAACACTTGAAAAAATGCAAATTAAAATTTAAAATTATTTCCATGACGCCGCAAAATAGCTCCGTCAGTACCTTGGGTTATACATCCTGACAGTAGGGATGTTCGATACGATCCTATATTTAGAAGTATCAATACATTTCACGAGTATCGTCATCTTTCGATCCGGACTGTGTCAGAAAGAGTGACTGCCATTGACAATAAACATTACTAGTTTTTATGATTTTTGGACTTAAAAGACATTGTTTGTGAAACATTTTTCATAATTTGTTGTCTATGTCCATACTAATTGCATTATGCATCAGGGAGATGTAGGGATTGACACGTCTTACACATATTATCTGTGTTTTAGGATGGATAGGACATAATGTTTTTATTGCTTTGAAGAAATTCATTAACCCATAAATTAATAAATGATTACTATTATGACGTAAAGGAAGATGAGGAATTGGATGGAATGTATTTTATATTCTATTTTCTTGCAAAATACAGACAAATCCACACTATTCAGCAGGTATACAATGATAACTTTCAGTATATTGAACTTGGTAAACTAAATTCGAGAGTGCCATGCATTAACAAACGTCCAAATCTGCTACCAAATTTAACAGCTAGCAAATCGATCTATTATTTGCCGCATTCCCATTCGCTGAGGGGGATAACGGATTGTTAAATGTAAACCTATAACATATATCAAAATACATGAAAGTTGTCCTGTTTTTTCTGTACAAAAGCATCATGTTGGAATCAAAAAGTGGTCTTGTTTATAATACAGTCGAATTTTCCCGATTTTATTCAATATTTCATTAGAAATCACTGTTATTCAGAGACCTTTGACAGCTTTCGTCAAATTGCATTTCGATATGGTATTTTCCCATAATATTAATGTTGGTGAGATCGGCCCTTAGTATATTTTTTTAAACGAATCGATACTGAAAGAACGCAGGGGCATGCTGAGTTTGAATTTGGGATCACTAATACTTTGCAGCAGTAGGCCATGAATGTCACTGAACTAACGGCAAAACTGGAAACATCTGAACCCGCAACGGAAAGTGTGGTTAGAATAGGTTTTTGAGATTGTGACAATTGACAGTTGGAAGCTGTCGGAAAAATAACTTTTTCACCCGAATGATGATGTCGTTCTAAATTTAATACGAACTGGGAGATACTGAAGAATAAAAAATTAAATTCAGAAACGCATTTTTCCAAACAATTGTATTACACAATCATGTATAAAATTTCGCATAGTGCCAGTCGATCTTAATTTATTACAAGCTAAAAATGTTTGCATATCGGAAATGTGTGCAATTTCAACGAAAATCAATCTGTTGCGCAGTAAAAACGAAAATAGCCATTTTCAAACAATTTCTGTAAACGCTATTACCCAAACACAATTAATCCGTGTCGACGGATGAAGTGCTTGACGTTGTGCAGCTTTACGCTCGGTTGAATTTGAACCGAATTTGTCGAATAACTGTAAGAACTGTTCGCGTGCCCTTGCGTTCCGGTGAAGATGAGCTAGCAGATATCTAGGTACGTAGTTGGCGTATATGTAATTGGCAATCTAGGTTTAAGCACTTTATCCTCGTCTTTATAGGATTACCTGCAGGCACAAGCTGTAACGTTGTAGTTCAGTCGGATTAGCGATGATTTATCCGTCTAGGTCAGGGATTTGCGATCGATTTATACGTTTACAGTAACTAAAAATTACGTCAGATGCATTGATTCGACAGAGGAAAGCGAACCTCTAGTCTCACGTTACCTTCGGATTATCTGATGTTATTTTCCAGTTCGAAAAGAATAATGAAAAAAAATAAAACAGTGCCGTTCGGGATAAGAAGACAATGCAAGGCAAGGAACAGAAAAAGGATAGTAAACTCTGTAATTTTTGTGGTCAAGAAATTAAAAACATTATGTATTTGTTATAAATATACTGTGTATCCTTGCTTGAGAATAATAACTTTGAGTATTGGAACATTTTGGAAATTTTTTGGAAAAGAGGTAAAGTTCCAAAATCGAATGTAGGAAAACGATCATCACTAATGTTTCAGTTGGCCACGAAGGCTTATCAAAGTATATTTTTTTAACCGCAGTAATGATTGTTCTATATCATGTCTTGAATTGGTCCAGTTTCATTTTAGAATAAATTAAATGAATTTCCAATGATAGCGAGAAGGATTTCTTAGTTAGTCCTTCTTCAAGCTCTGGGAAGTCATCAAAAATAGTAGAATAGTACAAGAAATGTGGTATATTTTTACTACTATATATATATATATATATAGGTGAAAAATTAAAGCTTCCGCCTTTTGTTGGGTACTTCGACAAAATTTAAGCAAAGAGGACTCTTTATACTTTTTTAATTCTCTCTAGCTTTCAATGGACTTTGCCATCATCATCAGGAGCTGCAATTACAATGATAACAGTAGTAACAAAAGTGTAAAATGAATTTAAATTGAATCAACTTACAGTAGTATGTGAGGATGTTGCTAATTGTTGTTTTCGTATAGGATGAGGGAAACGTCCAGTAACATGGTGAGAGCTGGATACATGGTACAATGGTTAAAATTATATAAAATATGACAAGACAAGTTAAAGACAGATTAAAAATTATTTAGAAAACATTAGAGCATTACGTCGTGAAGCCACTTGATGATTGCACAAAATGGTGGTCATGGAATAATGAGTGAGATGAACCTTTGTCAAAGTTGATTCAATTTAAATTCATTTTACACTTTTGTTGCTACTGTTATCCTTGTAATTGCAGCTCCTGATGATGATGGCAAAGTCCATTGAAAGCTAGAGAGAATTAAAAAAGTATAAAGAGTCCTCTTTGCTTAAAGTTTGTCGAAGCACCCAACAAAAGGCGGAAGCTTTAATTTTTCACCTAACGCTAATGACCACGTCTCAAGTTATATATATATATATTGAGAAGATGTATGTATCTGAATATGAATCAAATCTCATGTAATATTTAAAACATATCAGTGATATTTCAGAAACAATTTGAATGAAATATTCCTTATCCCTCATTTTAGTAATGTCTCTCAAACAAAAATTGCGAAATATTACAAAATCAATATTTCTGGAAGATGTACGAAATACTAATTTTCAAATGCGATATTGGGAATTATATACAATATACCAGAAATATCTCTGAAAACTAATGTGCTGTGTGGGTATACCAGAAATATCTCTGAAAACTAATGTGCTGCATGGATATATCGAAGGCTGCTTATTTCCTAGAAAAGCTCTTAGCTATCATCGTAACGATGTAGAGAAATGTTACGTAATGTTTAATTGTAAAGTAAATTTTATCATGAATAATTCTTTTGAAAAAAGAATGCTAGTTTTTCTTTCACTTCTAAAAAATCTATTTCCCTGGAGGAAAAAAATATCTAATTTTAGCCCATTTTCAACAATCGAAACTTTACGAATAATATTACTCGTTAGATGAGAATAGACTGTACCTAATTTCGCCGACCTACACCTCCTTTTTAATTCACCTCAGCTGACAGGCGGGAATTCATGATACACCTGAGACCTCCCAGCAAATTACGTAAAATGCAAAAGTACGATGAATTGAGTCTCTTAATATCAAATGTGTCTCGGGTCGTGCCATGGCTTGAGCCAATCGTGCTTTATCTTTCCTCTACGCGCCGAGATCGCAGCATATGCATTACTAGACAGTGAGGCAACTTCTAGCCAGTGCCGGATGCTCCGCTGTTCGATTTTCGTCCGCCGGCGCGCATGACGTCACGCTGAGAGTGATTCTCATTTAGGTTGATATGGATGACGTGCATATTTTCACCTACAGGCCAAACGGCTGGACGTATTTTCACATATGAGGTGTCGTAAAACTTCCTCGTTACAGTTAGATACTTCAGGTGCATTCAGTTTATTCGTTAATGATGCGGTTAGTGACTCTACGCTGCAATACATAACTTTTTTGTCTACTATTTTGATCACTTACCAGTTACTTGAAGTTATCTTTATTGATGATACCGATTCCTAGAAACATCCATATATCGTCTGCATATAATAATATAACCACGTTAAAGACTCAAATTTATGACCAAAGCATAAATGTTCCGCATAGAATATTTAAATGTAAGACGCAAACAATACAGGCTGCAATTGGTCATCTTCAGCACTAAGGATGGATGCGATTTGCAAGAACCGTCGCGTCGTCCGTACCGTAGCCCTGAACTTATGTCATGTAATCGGGATAATTCTTTTAGATTTGTAAACAATACCAGTTATACTATTACATACAATTGGAACTAGCAGTATTTTTGAATATAGGAATCTTCTTAATACATTTGTCGATGATGATGATGATGATGATGATGATGATGATGATGATGATGATGATGATGACGATGACAAAGATGATGATGATGATGCTGATGATGATGATGATACTAATGATGATGATGATGATGATGATGATGATGATGATGATGATGATGATGATGATGATGCTAATGATGATGATGATGATGATGCTGATGATGATGATGCTAAGGATGGTGATGATGATCATGATGATGATGATGCTAAGGATGATGATGATGATGATGATGATGATGATGATGATGATGATGATGAAGATGAAGATGATGACGATGACAAAGATGATGATGATGATGCTGATGATGATGATGATACTAATGATGATGATGATGATGATGATGATGATGATGATGATGATGCTAATGATGATGATGATGATGATGATGATGCTGATGATGATGATGCTAAGGATGGTGATGATGATCATGATGATGATGATGCTAAGGATGATGATGATGATCATGATGATGATGATGGTGATGATGATGCTAATGATGATGATGATGATGATGATTGATTGATGATTTCATCAACTGGTGGTCAACACCAAATCGAATAAGGAGGGTTGCCGTCCCTTTGGAGAGAATTGTTTCTACAGATCCGTCCAATTTTTAGAATGTCTAGTTGATGTGTGAAATTGTGTACGCTGTGCTGTTATCTCACATCGGAATGCCAACTGTCAAGGTGAACCTTAGCTTTTCTGTGTTCTGTTGTTCTTTTTCTGAAGTTCAGGAAGATTGCTAGTCATAAACGGAACGCTTTTACCTTTTACGACGATTGCTCCACCCGAACAAAGCTATTTTAACGCAACGAATGATGGGATTTTACGGTATTTTTATAGTTTTCCGATCGAAATTGAATTCTTCGAGAGAGATTAAAGAATTACCTAATGATCGCTGCAAATTTCAACTACTTAGTTGAAACTGCGGCACATAGATAAGCAGTCTGTGGTAACAACTATTTTATAAAAAACAGATTCAGTAAGGTTAAGTGTAAAAGTAGCACTTTGGCTAAACTGAAATATGCGTATTGATAAAGACATTCATTATTATTATACAGTGAACGAATGTAAAATTCATCTATTGAAATGCTTTATATAACTAGACGGCTGTTAATATTGTTATCGCTCGTTACAATGAGTCAACTCCAATGTGACAATTTGTTCTAAAATAAATAAATTATGACATATCTTAAAGAAACAAAATAACATATGCATGTAAGAACAAAATGTATCGTAAATCATTTGTAGAATCCGAAAAAGAAATAAACTGTGCTATTTGAAAAAATTAAGTTGATGCTCATTCGATAGTTTTTAAACACACGAATAAAGTATTCTATATTTATTTTAAATAAAAGAGATAAATACTAAGTAATAATGATTATTATATCTAGTTATCTCAGACTAAGAATTCTATATGCAAATAAAGCTATATTAAGAAAAGTATTGCTTTCGACGCCAAGTGGTGCATCTTTTTTTTACTAAGTATTCTTTAGTCACTCTTCCCTCAACATTTTAATTTTTTGTATCTTATATTTCTTAGATATTTTATCATTAAAAGGACATTGTTTACTAAATTTTCGTTTCAAAGTTTTTTCTTACAGTCAGCCTGAATTACTACTAAAGATTCTGGTTCTGATTATGTGATAACCCTGCGTATACCGCCTTAACAAGCAACAAACTTTGCATTAAAATTGAAGTGCAGTTTGCCCGAAAACATGCCAGCTGTCGGAAATAGCTGCAACAGCTACGAACGTTGCTGCAGTAAACTTTTCGGGGTAGTACGCAGTAGCTGAGCTACTATAAATCCACAAATATTACATGGAGGATTATGTCTACGGGTAACGGAAATTTCCGTGATATTTTAATTACTAGCTGGCGCTTCCGACTACGTTTTCCTTTAGTTCCTTTGATCACAAATCAGATCGAGCGCGTTGAAATTATGTTATGGAGAGCACGTTGTACGTTTGGAACTTCTCAAAATACGAGGGATAAGGTTCTCAGACAATATCTGATGGGAAAAATATTGTGATTCGGATTTTTTTTATAGTATTATTCAAAAAGGATTCCTTTTAACTGAAATGCATGTTGCCAGGCCAAATTTGCGTTAAAAAATGTTTCAGCAATTTAACTTCTTAAAGTTGATAGTTTTCAAGATATAACCGAAACAATATTTGACAAT